AGGTATCTCTGGATACCTTTCAGGGCGACCCCGAAGCCAGTCAGTGTGGCCTCGAAGCCAGTCAGTGTGGCCTCGATAGCACCAACTCGGTCATCGAGCCTCTTCAACCGTCTACTGATCTTATTTTTTAATTTTTTCCGTTTCGACCTCTTCTGTAGGGCTTCGCTATCATTTCCACTAGGTCCAGCATCGTCTAATGCAAGACCCTGTAATGCATCATCGTCCAATGTCTCGGCCTCTTCTATCGGATCCTCTATGATGTTCTTTCCTTTGTCCTTCACCCTTCTTTCCTCAGTACCCCTTTCCAAATCTGCAGGCGGGTTACGTACTGCAGCCGGGGCAGTTACAACAGCCGGGTCAGGTACTGCAGGCGGGTCARGTACAGCCGGCGGGGCAGGTATAGCGCGGGCTTCCGGTGGACGCATGATACGGACCATGTGTTCTGCCTCAGCATTCGTCGAAACCAAGTATTCCTTAACCTTGGACTGCAAAAAACTTATGATTAGACCCAAATGAAAAAATAAATTTGAATCGCACGGGGTCAAGATAATTACTTACCATCGTGTTATCGAACATGTCTCTCTGTAGAGTAAGAAACCCACGAGAATAAGTGCACGACCACCTAAGGAGTCGAGGAATGGAGTCGTCGCTCAGCCTCGTGGCTACGCGCAGACTCAACGTCGATATCGTCTCGTAAGCCCATACCTAGAATCCAGTGAAGTCAAATCAATAATGCATTTAAATAATATATACGATTATATAGTTGACTTAAAGCTCGCTAACCTGAAATGCGTACGGAAACCCGTAGAGACTATAAGTCTCTTGGTGTGTGGGGTCATTTCTGGCCTTCTGTTGGTACGCCGGTAGTTTATCCTTCAGGGCATTCTTCAGGCTCCAAAGTGTTCTTTCGAAAATCAACGAACTCCAGTCGTGATTGCCGAACAGCTCCCACCTATCCACAACCCCTAAAAGGGTCGTATCTATAAACTGCTTCCTCTCCTTCCCCATCATGGCAAGCTCGACGAAGTAAACTATGCCAACCTTGATAGCATCGTCATCATCGTCGAAAACTGCCTCCATAAAAATCTTCTCTAACTCAATACACTTAACCCTGACACTATCCTTAAAGTAACGTGCTCGAAGTCGTCGGCCAGGAATATCGTTATCTACCCTAATCATCCTATGACTGAGGCCGGTGATTAGGTCAAACTCCCGCTTACCAAAGGAGACCCTTTTCCCAAACAGGTCGAAACTAATGATGTCCTACCTAGGCTCTTCAACCTCTCTCAATAATAGATGATGTATTAATGGACCGTTAAAAACTACGTCCATGTCCAAAACAGAACCGAAACACGTTTGCCTAAACATGTCTAACTGGGTTGGGGTTAACCTACCCTTCAGCCTAGAACTGGTTTTATCTACATGGGCAAGGTTGGTCAACGTGGCCGGAAACCAGTCATCACGGTTTAAAATTAGTCTCAAATCCATTATATGTCCTATACAAAGGTAAAAAAAAAATAGATAAAGACTAATGCAAGGAAATTAAAAACAACGTTCAGTGCAGACCAACTTAAAAAAAAATTTCGAAGTGTTTGCATTCTGCC